GTGTGTGTGTGTGTATATATATATATATATATATATATATATGTGTGTGTGTGTGTCTATATAACAAATATATCCAAAATAAAGAATTTTGACAAACATAAGGTAGTAATTCATTCCACTAAAGACAAGTATAATTTTAAATTTGTATTTCTGTAATGTTTGGCATTATTAAAATGTATTTGTGAAATTCAGCTATTTTTTGTTCCCAGATTCAGCCACTATACATGTAGGTAGGTAGGCTTATAGATGTTTAACACTATTCCTGTTGTTTTCAGAAACACTACTCCAGTTAGATCGGAAGCAACTTCAAAAGCTAGTACAGTACCTCATCTCTGAACATCACACAGAAGTCCTTCCAACAGCTCAGCGGTTAGCTGATGATATTCTACAGACACAGTCAGTTATCAACTCTATTTCTGGTAATTTCAAGAAGCTTACTAAATATACAATTTTCCACAAAAATCTGTATAACCAGCTCTTTCTCCTTTAAGTAAACTGTTCATTATTTAGAGCTTTTGTAATCTGTATTTTGTTGTACTAATGTATTTATAAAAATTGTAACCTTTATTGTTTCAATTTTTATATGAATGATTTGGCATTAAAATAGGAGCACCTGACCCAACAGCTGGGGCTTCAGCTGATGAAGAGCATAGCTGGCATTTGGACGAAGAGCAGATAACGGAGCAGGTCCACAATTACCTTACTCAGGGAGGCTATTACAGTGCTAACAAGCAACTAAATGCACTGTTTGCCAAGGTAAGTTTTAGTTAATGTGGTGCAGTCTCTTTTAAAAATGCTGAATGATGTTGAGGGTCAATTTTTAAATCAGCTAAAGTCAAAGATTTTGTGTCACCTGTGCCAGGATTTGAGTAACTGGTGTATTAGTGAGGAATTGAAAAATAAATTTTAATTACGCAATGTAAGTCAACAAAAATTAAAATCCATGTTTTGGTTGCTTCTGATTTTGAAATCGATGTAATGTTGGTAAAAGAAAACAATGCATCAAAGTTATTTAAAGAAATTTTTTAAGGTCTTTTGTATCATAAAAATCAAACATAGTGGATCTACTTTAGAGCAGATAATTTGAAACAAAACTATTTTTATATTTATTATAATTAAAACATGGTGAATATAAAGTGGTGGACAATTCCAAAGTCTATTGTGCCCTGAACTTTTAACAATTAAATACAACTTAATATGTTCTGATGAGCATGTTAATGTCAACGTGTTCAACATTCTGCAGTTATTAAAAAAAATAATTTTAACAATTCTATATTGTTGTTTAATCACCAAAAATTAAGATATAACAGTAATGAACCCATAAAGCCTTATGTGACTAAATGACACTACAACTTTTATGAGGCAAGTTAGCTTCACATCTGTCTCCTGCTACACTCTGGTTAGAAGTACTGCATATATTTTAATGACAATACAAGTGACATACTAAGAAAAATTGAGCTGAACTATTTTGCTTAATTGACTTGGTATGTTCTAGTGATTAGTGTGTCAGACTATGGATTGAGGGTCTGTGGTTTGTGTCCTGTTGCTACAAAATTGTTCTGCACACTTTGTGGCCATGTATATATTGTAAGAGTGACTGTCAATCTCACTATTCAGTCAGTCATTGTCTAGCTGCCTTGTCTCTGATATATCAGTTTAAAATTAGGGACAGCTAGTGTAAATTGTCCTTGTGCAGCTTTGTATGATTATCTGAAACAATTTTTTTTCTCATTTTACTTTAGTTGAATTATATTGAGGAATAGACTTCCCTTTTTTATGCAATTCCCCATCTGTTATTTGGGACTTTAAACTGTCCTCTATTTACTGGTTCATTCCATTCATTTAATACATAGTTTTTAATTCTGGAAAGTGTTGTTGATTTCAAATTTGCATATTCTTGTACATGAGTTAGAAGTAGAAGAACTGAAACCCATTAAGGACATTTTTACACAACATTTGAAGTCTTGAATATTTATATTAATATTTAAGCCTAAAAACCTATTGCAATCTACATTTAGGTTTAACGATACATCATAATAAAAGTTGTTGGCAAGCTTGGTGGCACAGCTTAAGTAATTGAACATTGCCTGATTGCTTGTATATGATAGTACTAAGGCATGTTTATGCTTAGTAGAATTTCAGTTTTGATATTAAGAAAATTCATAGTGTTTAAAATAATCATGAATAATATGATTTATATTACCTATTAGAAAAGCATTTTTAGTGAAAACTTTGTGGTAATTTCAGGTTCTGTATTTAAGAAATCATATGTTTCTCTTATTTTGCATGCTTGTTGAAGTATTAGTATTTTTTACCAACATTTTCATAAAAGAAACTGTGGAAAGGCTATCAAAATTAAAAATATGAACCAGTAAAGGTTTTCTTATCAAGTAGTTCACATTCAAATTTACCATTTTTCCTATGAATAAAGATGTAATGAAATGAAAGCTGATAATTTTGTTGATGTGAAACTGTGAGACTATTACATTTATTTTGGAGATATTAGTCACATGTTCAGCATATTTAAAAATAAAGTATTACTTACATACTGTATATAATATATTGGATTAAATGAAGAAGCAAATTCATAAAATCAGTGTTTTTCATAGTAGCAAAGGAGTGATGGGTTAATATTTATCCCAAAGCTACACCTTTTACTTTATCATACTAATTGTTGTGAATTGGAAAATGAGATTCCTTAGTGGTAAAATTCACGAGCTTCCAAAACACTTACTTAGGAAATATCATTTGATTATTTTCATTTTGATTTAAACACTTTTTTTTTTTTAATATATAGATTCACCTAGAGAAATGTTAATGTGGAAAGACTTGTATCAAAACTGGGCTTGGCATGGCCTGATGGTTAGGACACTCAATCTGCAAACTGTGGGTCATGGGTTTGATTCCTCTTCACTGAACATGCTTATCGTTTAGAATTGCTGCCAGAGCCAATCACCCAAGTGTAAAATTCTTAATACAAAATACTCAAGTGGCAGACCTCAAATCTAGATGAGATTAAGGTCAAACGAAGAAGAAGAATCTATATCAAAACTAGCACAACAGATCTTATTATCAAAATTTAGATCTTGTATTTCTTGAGAAAAATTAAAACTTTCTTTGATAATATAATCATTACTAGTTAATGATTCCAGAAATTTAACAAAAACTAACAAATTTATGATTATGCATATCATTATTAGACACAATCAGTCTAATCATACAACCATCTTTATGAACTTTAGGAACTCTATCCATGATATCAGAATGAGAACCTAGTGGCTTTATTATATGATATTCATATTCATCAATGAATTTGTGAATGTTTGATCTATATAAAACAGTTAGTATATGTATATTAATAAACAAGGATTGAATGAGAAAATATGACTTTATTAGATTTGTGTTTGTATTTTGCATAACAAATGAGTGATATCAATCAAGTTATATATGGTCAGTTTTTTTATGTTGAGTAATTTGACAGGCAAAAACATAAAGTTAATAAAAATACATAGTATGATGCAGTATGTGGACTTCACTGGTAGTGAAAAAGAAATATATAATTTTTGTGAAGACCTTTGCATGTGGCTCATACTGCAACATCTTGATCATTTTTGTTGTGTGAAATGTTACTTCTTACTAAATTCAAAAGGTTAAAGAAATGTTGAGGGCTCGAGATTCCAACAGTGCCAGAATGTTACGGCTAATCACCGAGCAGTTTCTGGCTGACCCTAGATTGGTTATCTGGAGAGCCCAAGGGACCCCAATGATGGACAAGTGCCGTCAACTCTGGGACCAGCTAGGTAAGTATAATTGTTTAACCCTTTCCCTATGGGCAGGTCAAAGGGCTCATGTCATGACATTTTAGAGAGCTATTTTCAAAATTTTATTAAATAGCTTTCATATTACTTACCGTATTGTTTGGAATATAAGACGCACCCTTATTTTGAAGAAAAATTTTTTTGGGAAAAAAAACACTACAGTCGCATTTGAAAGATTTTTATTGAACAAAAATTCAATTTGATACTTTAAGAATTAGTATATATTGTTCTAAACACAAAAGGGCTCAAAACATCAAAATAAGAAAATACCGTAAATCAAAAAAAGGTTTACCGTTATTTAGTTTGGTTCAAAACCTAAAAAATCTTCATTGCTTTCACTGTAATTTATTTTTTTATTATATAGGGAGCATTATAAATAGTTATGTTTTTAAAAGAAAAAAAACTACTATTGTTATAAATAACACATTCAATTGAACTAAACCATGCATGCCTGTTTAAATATATTTACACGTGGCTTGTGTATATTGTATATATACATATATATTATTCATACCTTCGTTGTATAGGATGCAAGCAGATTTTGACATCAAATTTTGGGGTAAAAAGTGCATCATATACACCTAAAAATACGGTATGTCAAAGGGATTCACATGAAAATGAAGGTTATATTTCAAATTTTAATATTATTTATGTTTTAATTTCTTAAGTTAAAAGGAAATATAAAGAAAAAATGTTGTGTTATTGTTCAGTTTATGATTAATTACACCAACCACACAATATGTGCAGTACTTAACGAATTAGAAACTCAAATTGGAGATATTGACTAGTTGTAACTAAAAATATGAACCTCCTACCTCTTTGATTTGCTGAAATATAAGTGTATTTAGTCAATTTAGTAATTTAGCTCCTCCTACTACTCCAGTCTTTCAAAACCTCTTGTCTAGTCCCACCTACTTTGATTTTTTTTAAGAGTTTATAACCAACAGAAAGAGCAGTTATTTGTGTACATAAGTCTTTTAGCCATTTGTAAATAGCTTGAAGGATAAAATTGTAATTTCACCTAAACTGTTGAAGTGTGATGACTAAGTTGTTGCTCTGAAGAGAAACAGGATTTTTTAAAACTCACATAAAGCTTGTTTAGACACCCAAATAAATTACAGGTGTTTTGTGTGCATTAATATAGTAAGTTGATATATTTTTTTAAGTTTTATATATATATTTGAATCGTAAAATAATTAATAGCTCTACACCCTCCATTTGGAAGAATAAACGAGGCTTATGGCAAGGCTTAGCATGTGCGACGCTCAAACACAAAGTCCATAAGCACTCAAAATCTTTGTTTTTTGAAGTATATTTTCTTTATTCTTGTAGGATGTAAGAAAAATAACGAAAATTTGAACATTTGTGAATCAGTTTGCTGAAAGAGAAATAGGATTTCACAACAACATGCACCAATAAGATCTTTGTACACATATACAGTATACCACTAAAATTCTAACATCCCAGAAGGATTACCAATATTCCAAGAATTGCGATGTTTATTGTCTCAGCACCGAACCATATAATAAACATTTGACATATTCAAAATGCAGTCATATTGCTCTGGAGAATACTTGTTGTAAGACACTTTTTACATAAGCCGATAAATTCCACATTCTGTTGTCGGCATAAACGTTTTCACAGATTGTAAGTGCAGTGTGATTACTGAAGTTAAATTTCCTTGTAAACACTGTAAGATATATAATCTGATACATTAGACATTGTGTTCTCAGAGCAGGGGTCAAGTCAGCTATCCCTTTGCTGGTGCTTTGTTTTCGAAGGTATTGTATTATGTGGTTACGTAAATATCCACTGACACAATTGGCAATTTATTGCTTCATTTTCAGTGGATTTTCAATTCAGTTGTAGACAGTAAAATACGCATAGAAAATAAATGTGATATGCTTAGTAGTTGAAACCCTCAAGAGAAGTACTTTAAAATCTTATGAACAATAATCAAGAAAACAGGGCAAAGCTGCTCATTTTATTTCCAATTTTACAGAATAAAATCTACTGTTAGGGTAGAGGCAATAACAGATGAAATATAAAGTTTTGCTACAAAAAAGTTTCATATTTACTAAGGAGGTTTTAGGGATTATGAAAATGAAGGTTGTGATTTTTGAGATAATGAGAAGTGTTTTTAATCTTTACATAAAAATCACTTTGCTTTTGGAGTAGTAAAAAAAATGTTTGATTCATTCACAGACAAATTGTTAGCAAAAATACTTCATTAAAAACTGATTTTTTTTTTACAAATGACATTTAATGTTTACTAAAAGTCTGCCAAATTTTGTTAAAGTACTCATACTGTATTAAAGGTTATAATATTAAAACTACTATATACAAGTAAAAATGGTCATATTGTTGGTTGCTGGGACCAAGCCCATGTTGAAAAAGTTAAGTAGTCTAGGGATTTTTGTTTTACACTCTCAGTAATTTAGTATTATAAACCTTTTGAGTTAGTATCTTTGATCATAATTTCACTGTTTCTTTCGTGAAACACCCTGTAGATTTCAAGTTTAATGTGGTTGACATGTATTAGTTTATTTTGTCACAGTTGTACTATTCTACTGGAATTCCAGTGCTTGTGAATCATACAATAACAATGATCATCCAGTGATTTATATTTATTAATATTCCAAAATATGACTGAAAATTCACAGAAAACGAAAGCTTAACTCATTCATTACTGTGTCTGAGGATCAACCTCATAATTTTGTAATGAAAGATTGTGTGCACATATTATCAGAAAAATGGAGAACTTAATATAGTTACATGTTGAGATTGTAAACTTCTTTGAGTGCAATCAAATAAGCAGAAATAGATACTTTTGGATTGTCGAAACTGAAAATTGTAATAGAATAAATTAACTTATTTCATTAAAGTCTTTGGCTATATATATTTATACATAATACTAACTACTAGTAAGATGATACAACATTAGTATACTGGTGTGTTGTATTTACAGAACTACATTAAGTTTGGAGTTTCACAGTTTTCCTACACACTCTAAAAGTGTATAGTGTTTATAAGCTACAGATTTATGAACTTTAATGAAATCTTTTTAGGAGCATTATGGGTATGTGTGGTCCTTAGTCCACATTCTACTCAAGTTGATAAGGAGCAGTGGCGCACTCTTTTGGAAAAGTGGGCTAGAACTCAAGTATGTCCTCTTGAAGATGCTGACTTTCGACCACCAGGGGGAAGTGCACAGGCAAGAAGACCTCTTGAAGATGACAGTTCCTCTGACTCTTCTGATGAAGAATCAAATGGTATAAAGCGAGGATGAAAAATCTGTTACTGTTTCATAAGCTTATTTATAATTGATTTTTAGAAAAGACTGGCCTTGTTATCTTTTGTTTTAATTATGTTTATATTGATATTTAAAACTGGTCAGTCAGTATTACAATTAACCCTACTAATTACTGCTGGGGTCCTATGTGTATTTATATAGAGAATTAGGGGTTTTTGATCAGTTCTTTACACTGATGGTTGTAACAGGCAAATATATGAAATTACTTAATATGATGTAATATATGGACCATATCAGTAGTGAACAGTATAAAAACAAGCCAGTAGTTTCAGGGTTAAGCTGTAAAATGTATTGACATTTTTTAATTGGGTTATTGATTTTCAAGTGTTTGATGTATGGAATTTTTTTTTCAGAATTACCTCAGGGTGAACGCCCTATTGTCTCCCACAATACATCTCAACAACAACCTCGCACAATTTTTCATCGAGCTCTTGAGGCCAGCCATCTCCAGTGGGATGATCCACACCTAAAACACATTTTAGCACATGATGGCGTATCTCAGTGTACAGAACCCTCTTCTTCCGCATCTTTTAACTGTCAGGGTTATCCACTATGGCATGGTAATATGATTAATGACATTTTGTGTAAACGTAGTGAGGCAATTGTTGAGGTTATCGTAAGTGAATTTAAAACATATATATATATGAGGTCAGTTAGCTGTTACATTGACATTATAAGAATGGGTAATTTGATAAAGAGTGTACTGTAGTAAGATTATATTCTGTTTTTGTATTGTGTGATATTTGATTTTGGACAATGAAACACCAAATTTGTAATTCTTATTAGTCAACTAACTTGTTCATTTAAGTGTGGATAGCTATGGTTTATTGTGACCAGTGCATAAAAATTACTTTAACATATTATGATATTTAACATATGATTATTAGCAGAAAAAACTGCTTCAGAGGTTTTGCACTGTGTGTGAAATTGTCAGCAAAGAAGTATTTGAAAAGTGCTGTATATTGTGTGATTCTTACTACAGAAAACTCTTTGAATGGTTATGTATGGTACATTATTTCTATCACAGAAAACAGTTTGAAAAAGGCTATATCATACACATAATTGCTGCTATAGAATTGTTTTGAAAGGTTTTGTATGTTAGATAATTGCTACCACAGTAAACAGTTTGAAAATTTTTGTATGGTGCATGATTGTTTTACCTCAGAAAACTCTTGGAAAATGTTTATAGAGCATAATTGCTATTGCAAAAAACTGTTTGAATTGTTATATATATAGCTGCTATAGAAGAACACTTAAATATTTTAGTCATATTGCATACTTGTGTACGTATCAGGATAAATTACTGCTAAATCTAGCTTAGTATGGTGCTGAATTCTACTGTTAATAGACTTGGTTTACAAGTTCTCTTTATGACTATCTGTCTACCACAACAAGCTGTTTTATCTTAGATATCCATGTAACAGTATTTATAATTGTAACTTTTCAGACGTACAAATACTTCCTTATTTAGTAATATTAAAGTTTTTAAGGTAACATCATGATTAAGACTGTGATTCTTCATTTAATATATTTAGTACCAAATAGTTGCGTTTGATTTTTTTTTTAAAGAGATTTGCTTCTTTTACTGCAGAACATATCCCTACAGCTTGTGCCCGGGTTGAGGCTCTGCGTTCTCACGGGTGTCAGAAGGAAGCCTTGCGGTTAGCTGTAGCTATTGTCAGGACAATGAAGCGCCAACAGCGGGAATGGCAATGTCTGTGGCAAGCTGAGCAAGATCGTGGAGGTAAAATTGTATGACAGCAAGTAATGACATATGCTTTGTTAAGTACTGAACGTAGTATTATGCAACAGTACAGGTAAAATCTAAATCTTCAAACTGTATCATAATTTTCAAATTTAATCTTTTAGCCTGATAACATTATATGCATCATTTTATGCTTATAGATTCTTGGAAAATGTTATTTATTTAACAGTTTATATTGTGACAAGTATAATTTTAACCAGAACTTAGTGCTGCAGTACACCATATATATATTAGGCCTGTTATATAAGTCTACTGTGAATACACACAAATGTGTATATAATCTTAGGGAAAAAAGAAGTTTGCAAAGTAACTGATAGATTTCAATTTCTTATTGCAAATTACTGGTTTTCAAATAATCTAACACATTATTATACATCAGTTCTGCAACTGTATTTTAAATTGAACCCTTCTTGGAACAGGCATAGAAATAAGTCTTACTATAACCAAAATTTGAAATTTTCAGTAACTTATGTATGTAACTGCTGTATGTTTTGGTTTACAGTAGTACAACCACCAGTCTCAGGGACTTCCACTATTAAACCTACTCATTCTAATACTGAAGGATGGGTGGGACATCCATTAGACCCCATTGGCTCCCTTTTTGACACTTTAGCAGAAGCTTCTTTAACTCCTGGCTGTAAAGGCTGTTTAGACCATTTTTATGGTGAGCATGCTGCATTTCAGAGTTTTGTTTTCTTTTGATGAACATTTATTATGTGATATTAAACAAAAGTAATTTGTGAAAGTATTATATTTTGGTGTTTTGATAGAATAATTACCATGCACTGTTTTCTATTTGATATTTTGAAGGTACACCTCAAATTAAACTGTGGAATCAACATTATTTATTTTTCTAATATAGATGCACTGTCAATGATAACCAAGTAACCAGTTTAAAATTCAGTGTTTTATTTCTGAAACTTTAGTTTTGGGAGATGTATTTCGTTTATTGATTAAATGAAATTAGTAATAGGTTGTCTGTGCAATTGAGAAAGTAAAACATTAGGTAATCAACTTATTTGTAATAAGCATTGAACTGTTGGATTGCTACTAATTTTTAGGTTACTGAATATATTATCTGTATATCTCTATCTAAGCTTTGTACATTTCAACATACCCTAGCAGATTTCATGACCACCAACAATCAGGAAGAATCCGGTAGCACAGGCCGAGAACGACCACGTTACCAACATGTGGTGGTTCCAAAGAGTCGAGACCACTGTGAGAGTTTTCTCTCCCTGGCTGTTGAAGCTGCTTTAATAGGGTTAGGTCAACAGAGAATTATGCCTTCAGGAGTTTATGCTCAAGAAAAAGCTTGCAAGCAGGAAGAGCGACTCATTACAAAACTGCAGGACATTGAACTGGATGGTACCCTAGTGGCAGTACTCAGAAAACAAGCTATGCTGCTACTTGAAGGCATGTTGACCTGTAAACATTACTTGTTAATTGTATAGTTTTATATTGTTCTATAAATCTTTATAATGTGTTTAGATTCTATATCTAAAGCTTGGTACTTTTGATAATATTGTAAGTACTATACTTTTCCAAAACAATTAGCCTTGATAGGAATAATATTGAGATAAACTTTCAGCACGTGTATTTTTCCTATATAAGATATATAAGCAACTGAATTAACAGATTAATTGAATCTGGCTGTTCTTGTACCCTCGTTTTGTGACAGAATTTTGGTTTTATCAGAAAGTTGATATTATAGTGAATTTTGCACATTTTATGTACATTTTATCTTCTCAGTTTCCCTAATTGTAACTTTAGTGACTAACTTATAACTTAGCATAGCAGTGTGTTTAGTTGCTTTTATCCAGTAGGTTGATTTAAAGACATGGAATAATGTAGGTTAATTATGAAAAAAGAAGCTCTGCACATAACAACCTGAAACTAAATTGTGACTGTTACATTGACTAAAACATCAACATAAGCTCTACTTCAGGAATATGCTTTACAACCAATGAAGTTCAATTACCTAGATAGACTTGAAAACATATACTCAATACTTTTATTATACCAGTGATGATAAATGAATTTTTACTCAAACGTTTTAACAGTATTATATTTGTAAAAACAGGTGTAAATCATGACCTAACTATTGTTTATCAGTTTGTTGCAAGACTGAAAATGTTGCTAATTATCTTCTTTAAGATGTTTTAATCATGAAGTTTTTTTGTTTTTTTTAGCTGAATGTGAGAAATATAAATACCAAACAGTATTCTACATAACTGGTACTTATTTGTTTAAGTAATTTTTCAAAATATAGCAGTATATATTGTTTTATCACACAAACATCATTTGTTGCAAACATACCATTAAAAAAAATTCAGTTGTGGTATGATCAAAATACTGAAATGTTGTTATACCTTATTGTAAGCCATCTTTGACCTGTGTTTTTGAATAGATTATCTCCTTTCCACATTCTTTTGTCAGTTTTTCATTTTAAGATAATTTTTATAGTGGTGGTTAAGATAAATTGGTGGTTATAGCATGCTTTATAGTTTACATTATCTTATAGGAGGACCATTCAGTGGTCTTGGCTGTAGAATCCACACTGAAAGTGTTCCCATGCACACTTTTGCTAGGTATCTTTTCACAGCTCTTCTGCCGTATGATCCTGATCTTGCTTACAGTGTGGGGCTGAGAGCAATGAGGTTTGTATTGCTTTTATTTTTTAAACGTAAAAGTGTAATGAAGCAAACTTCGTATCAATCATATCATAATTAGGTACGAAAAAATAAAAGAACCTTTGTGTTGATATCAGAATATAAATTTCAAGCCCTACATTATTATTGTTAGTACTGTTTCATATGTTTGAATGATTTTGTTTTATGAAACAGCTTTTAGTTTATAGTATTCTGCTTAAAGTGAAGGAACATTTTTGAAGAAGTCAAGTTTATTTTGAAGCGATTCCTGGCTGTTCTTTTTTTTTTCCTGCATATTGAATGTTGTACATTCATAGAACATAAAAAATACTTAAGCAACTTTCTCTAAAAGATATATTGTAAATGGCACATTTTAATATTAATTTTTGAACTATATAAGAAAAGTTTTGAGCGGTAATACCTTACACCAAAACACTGAAGGAAGAAACACTTAAAAAGATATGAAAAATAAACAAACTACAAATATTAGTGTGTTATTAATTACTTGTCTATTTTATGTGTCATGTTGCTTCAGTGCATTTTACATGTGTTACCTGCCTTGAAAGAGAGTATCCATTAATTATGTTCATGATTAATAAATTGCTGTTTTGGTGGTTGCTTTAGTTATCCTTATTGTTCTGTATACTTATGTGGCATTGATTTGTTGGTGATTGCAAAGGTTTCTTGAGAGAAATGCAGACTTCTACAGCTGTTCAAATCCTGAAACTAGACAAAACAGAGTCAATTTTGTTATATCTAAATACATAGTAGGTAGGCTTTTAGAGACCTTTCAGTAACTAAATACCTTAGTCAAGGTTGTGAAGGTCAGCTATGACTTCTGTATGTACAAATATGGCCATTATGATTAGGCAAGGTTGTGGAAGGTCAGGTGTGCCATGTAATGATTTTTGTATGCACAACATGGTTGTTCTGATTAACCCTATAAACACAGGAGCATCAAAGTGAGCATGTCACAATCTTCTTTCAGAGTTACATTCAAAATTTAATAAACTATTTTATTATCAATGTATATTAATAAACTTAGCATCAAAATGTAGTTTATATTTCACATTTTTTATATTACCTAAGTTTTAGTTTCTTAATTTCAAAAGGAAATATTTAGATAGATTCACAAAATGCATCTCTGAGTCATATGACTCTGACTTCTCATTTGTAGATGTTTCTCTCTTTGCTTATAACGGTTTCAGATTATTCAGCCAATTAGAAACACATACTATGATGGTGACCAACCAAAATATGAAATTTCAACCTCTTCTTACTGAAATATCGCTATATTTGTTCAACCCACATTGACATGCCCCTCTCATACTTCTTTTCTTTTAAGAAATATCTGTAATTTTCTCTAACATTACTATTGGACTCTTTCATAATCAAAAGGAAAAGCAAATTCTAAATTACTTAAAACTGATGGTTGTTTGTTTTGCTGTAGTGTCCAAAGCTAATAGTTTGCTGGGAGAGCTTGATATGTTTAGACTAAAGTCATTGCTCCAAGCAGTAATGAATTTTTTTTTAAACTATTTATATATTAGTTAGAAGGCCAGATAAATTGTAGTAGTTTTGAGACATTCTATTCTAGTGCATTATATACTTGTTGTATTCTAAAATGCATATTTGAAATCTGTATAAATTATTTTGGGACAACCAATGTTGTGAGAAAAAAATAGGCTTATTAGATCGTATGCTGGAGTGCAAAATGCCTCAAGGTTAAAATGATAAATTTCTTGATTTTTATGTATAGTTTTTACTTATCATATGTTTTAACAAAAGTCACTAAATTGTGAAAATTGAAACTTTTTAGATTAGTTAAAAAACCTAAATGAAAAAAACTATGTAAAAAAAATTATCTTGAAGGAGTGCATGGGGCTGTGTCATGTGATGTAACTGCTAATGTTTACCCTAGTTTGTTTACCCTTAGCTCTTACTGGTTGATTTATTGCTTTATTATGCTGTTTAGAGTGGTTCGAGAGTAATAAAACAAAAGAAGTAAGTGAAAACAGATGTAACACTGTTTTCAGCCTGAAGCTATTTAGGATAAATAATTGTAATTGTCTGTTACAATTTGCAGTCATTCTATAAAGAAAAGAAAAAGGTATTTTTAATTTTATTTCATATTTTTCAACTTTTGCTATAGTTATTGTTGCGGTAGAGAAAATAAGAAATAAAGTATAAAGTTTTACCAAAAAAAACTTGATATTCATTTAAGTGGTTCTTTAAATTACACAAGTGAAATACAGAACTTGTAAGATAAGATGGAAAGAAGTATTTGTATTCTTAATATAAAACTCACCTTTCACTCAGACTGACTTTGTAAAGGATTCATTAATTCACAGACAAATCTTTAGTAAATGCATTAAAAATCCTAACATTTTCTTGTGCGATATACTTGTAATGTTTACTAAAGGCTTGCCAACTTTTGTGAAGACACACTTAGTATATTCAGAGTTATAGTATGTATAGTTTCATAATTACTTGGTGGTTACAAAGTCAGTAAAATTGACTCTGTCCATGTGCATAGGGTTAACAAGGTTATGGAAAATCAGCTTTGCCATATAATGACTTCAGTATACACAACATGAATGTTCTAATTAGATCAGGCCTTGATCTCATGAAATTTAATTAGCATTGTGAAACTGACTCAGTAAATGTATTCAGAGAGTAAATTATGCCCCAAAAATATACTGCAATTTTATATTACTTGTTCATTTAATTGAAAATGCTTTTGTCCTCTTGAAATGGTGGTAAAAACTAGAATTTTTTTTATAGGTAATACTTTGACTTTATATATGTACCTGTGGGTGCATTCAGGGAAAATATTATTCATTTAATAAAAGAGGTTATTTTTGCACTTGCCATTTTTTTTTCTCAAATAACCGTGGTTAATAAAACAGCAAAAGTTTATATAGATTTGATTTTGGAGCTTAAGTTTAATACTATGTTCCTTATTCATCAAACTCTGTTTATCTGAAGTCTATATTCAATTTCAGAAGCAGCAATTGAAAATTACGTAATTATGTTATTGAAATATTAAATTATTACATTTCATTTTAATCTGCTAGACTTCCTATTTTGGAAGAACAAGAAGAACAGGATGAGCCAGGGTCAGGTACTGGATTAAATGCAGCTGTTCTTGCTCGCTATCCTCGCTGGTTTACCTTGGGGCACATTGAAGCCCAACAGTGTGCTTTGGCATCAACTATGCTGTCTGCAGCTAAAGGTGAGATATTAAGAATAATCAGTTTTTTGTTGTCACATGTGGATAAAATTCAGATAGGTGTCATTCATAAGGTTTCAAAAAATAACAACAACTAAATGTTCCAATTTGTTAATTTATTGCTGAGCAATATTAGAACACTGGGAAGGATATATGTATAATGATTCTTTATTATTATTTATTGATACAAAATAATTAATATTAATTTCTTGGAATCAAGTTTGGCTTTCTAAATTTGTGACTTATCTAAGTATAAGTAATGGACATTAAATTTTTGTAAAATAGGATTTTCATTATACAAATTGAGCTGAGTTCAGAACATTATTTTTTAACGTTTAGTTATTATAATTTATGTGCAACATTTGTTGCAGTGCAAAGTATGAAAGTTTTATTCCAGATAGCAACAAACTGGTAAGACTAGTAATGGTGGAGAAGAGTACTAATTCCCATAATGTTATGAGGGATTACAGCATATTAATTATCTACACTTTTTCTTTGTTAATTTTTGAGTTATAGTTGTCTAAGTGGTAAGAATGCATATGTAACCTGGTTTTGATTGACATAGGTGACGTGATACGCCTCCGTACAGTTCTTAAGTCAGCTCAGAGAAATATTCACAGTTCTTCTCAGCTTTTCAAATTAGCTCAGGATGCATTTAGAATAGCAGTGCCCCCTGACGGTGGACCAAGACATTCAACTCTATTAAATGCAGCTTTTGAACTAGGACTTCAGGTATTCTTCAGAGTGATTCTCAAAGTAGTTTTAGATTGAAATTACATGTATATATGTGTTTAATTTGTTAATGCTCAAGTTGTACATTTTGCAGTATATACTTTTTTTTGTAAGTGTAATTTTTATCTACAGTACATATGTTTCCTTCCGTGATATTCTTCTAGTATATCTAAAGTTTTATATTTGTTAACCATGCTATCAGTAATTCTGTATAAACTTATCTGAATACATTGTTTTATGGTTTATCTTTTTTACCTCATTTTACAAGAAATAAAAAATATATGAACGAAAAATTATTAGAATATACACATTTTTATTTATTTTTTTGACAGGTAATGAGGATGACCCTTTCCTCACTGAATTGGCGGCGAAGGGAAATGGTCCGTTGGCTTGTTACATGTGCAACTGAAGTTGGTCTTGAAGCATTAATATCAATTATTCAGAACTGGTATCAGTTGTTCACTCCAATAGAAGCTACAGGTGGGTTTTAAAAATAGGTGAGAACAGTGTTTGTTAGAATCTCTTAACCCTTTAGAGATGGGTCATGGGTGAAAGGCCAT